CAGATGGTGTCATTTTACATTTATTTGTTTATATACATGCAGAAATCTTCCTATCACCAACAAAGCAATTCATCTGAAAGCAGGAAAAATAGCCTAATCTCAAATAGATGAAGAAAATTTCAAAATAGTGAGAGGCTGATGTGACTAATTGATGCATAATGCAGATTGTCATTTGGATATAATGTCACAGCTTAGTAGTAGGGATTTTTTTCTTTCTTAATAGCATATAAATAATGGTGCAGTTAACAAACTATGCCATCTTAGATGGCATGAAATAAAATAATCTACATTGATATCTAATATAGCAAACTCTCATTCTGAATTTTTTTCCTTAGATATGTATTATCTTTGATCTCTTATCCCTTCATGAAAAACTTAGAAAAGTCTATTAAGTTTCACTAAGAAAAAACAAAGCAAGCAAAACCAAAACAAAACCATTGATTGATTGCAATTGCATTGCACCAATGATTCAAGTTTCAATTGAATTATGTTGAACATCTCTCTGTTTTGGATAACATTCTTCACTATATTCCAACAGATTGTTATCATTTTCTGCATAACATCCATGCATATTTATTATGAGTTAAATTGAAATCCTCTAAAACATATGTTGAAGTCCTAAATCCTCATATTTGTGAATGTGACCTTATTCAGAAATAGTCTATTTGCATATATATAAAATCATATTTAGATGAGTTTATTCTCAGAGTAGGCCTTAGTCCAATATAACTAGTACTCTTATGAGAAGAAAAGAAAGATATTATATGTGATAGGAATTGTCTATTCCTTAAATACTGATAGAATTTACTATTAAAAGCCATCTACCTCCTTTAATTTTGTTAGTGGTTGTTGAATTCCTTGGGTTCTTAAATTTTCATGAATCAGTCTTTCTGCAATTCATATTTAAAAATTATTTTTCATATATTTTCAACAACTGGTAATTAATTATCCTTCACTATTTTTTTTTTTGGTCAGGAAGGGGAACAAACTTAGGACCTTAAGCTTGATAGACAGGCATGGTGCCACTGAGCTAAATCTCCAGCCTTACCCTCACTGCTTTTAATCTCTAGTATTTATAGTTGTTACAAACATACTTTTTCCTAAATATTATTTGCTTATGATTTCTTCTGGTAATGAATCATCCAAGAGTTTGACTTATTGTTATCATCTTCTTGAAGAAACAAACTCAAAAGTTTATTTACATATTTTCTTTATTTTATACTTGTTTTGTAGGTTAGTTTCTGTTCCTATCATTAGATTTCCTTCTTTCTTGTGGTCAGTGTGGTTTTCTTCTTTTAAAACTCAAGTTGACTGCTTAACTTCTTTTTAAATTTTTTACCACAAGATTTTCAAAAATAAATCTACTTAATAGTGTACTGCTTTAACTCTATTATTCAAATGTTGATACATAATATTTTCATAATTATTTAATTTGCAGTAAATTTTGCTTCATTTATAATTTTGCCTTTAACTAATTGTTTAGAAGCATTTTTCTAAATTTGCAATTATATTTTTATCCATTTATTCTTGTTTTTTGTGGGTTTTTTTGGTACTAGGGATCGAACTTGGATCCTTGCGCTTGTGCAGCAGGCGGCGAAACCACTGAGCTAAATCTCTGGCCCTTATTCTTGTTTTTGATTTGCAATTTAACTATATAATGACATATGATCTTTATAAAATCATTGAAATGATTGATATTTGTTGGCATTACTTTATATCCTAGCACATGGTAAATTTGTGTAGATTTTCCCAAACAGCTTTAAAAGAACATCTATTCTCCAACTGTGGCTTTAATGTTGAGTTTATAAATGTTCAAGTGTATAAGTTGTGCTATTTAAATAATCTAAATCCTTACTGATACACTGTGTAATCAGTTAGTTGCTAAGACAAGGGACATCCATCCATGACAGAGTACCTTGTGTCATACAAACCCTCCTACTGGGAACATTTATAAAATGTGGGTGAAATAAAAAATAGTGACATAAAATCATCAGAAAATTCCACAGTCAGAAATTGATGGATAAGATACGAGCATGAAGGAAAATAAATGGAAGCGAGTTCTACATCCATCCATTGTGTTTTTTCCTCAGGATTTTGCACATTCCTGGTGTATAGCATCAATTTTGTAGAGAGCAGTGGCCTGGAATTTGCAATGGCATTACTGGGATTAGGAATAAACACTGGAGCCAGCCAGCATCTAAAAGGGAAGAAAATGGAGAAGGGAGCCTAAAATTCAGACTGTAGTATCTTCTGACAAATTGCCATGCTGCCTGCACATAGAATGAAGGATTAGAAATCAAAGAGAACTTATCCAGATTGCTATAGCAGAGGTTCTGATTATGTTGGAGATTTAAAAAAGAAATTGCATTATAGTTAAAAATTTCCAATACTTTTTCTCATACTTCTATGGTTGCATTTGGCATTAAAACTCTGATTCATTTGGAATTTATCCTAGCACAAGAGCCACGATAGACTTTATTTTTTGCCACATGGCTATCCATTTGTCTTCAAACCACTTACTTAACAATCAAACGTATCCTACTGATTTAAGATGTTGCCCGAGTTATAAACAAAATTGGTGACTTAAAATAAATACAGTCCAAATTAGAGTCAGACATTTTGTTCTCAAACTCAATCCCTTCTGTGTCCCTCCTCTAGTTTTTCCTATTGCAGTGAATGACGCTATTATTTAACCAGTTATCTAGAACAAAACCTAGTAATCACGCTTTACTCCTTCCACCTCTACACTTTGTAATCATTCTTTCTACAAATCCTGTTGTATCACCTTCAAAAAATTTATACAGGATCTAGTCACTTTTCACCACCTCCAAGGTTACCATCTGTTCAACTATCCCTTTCTCAGATATTAATCTTCCTGGTAACCTATCTAAAAGATTACCATTGTCATTTTCTAGTCACTTACTCTGCTTTATTTTCCTCTTCTTTTACATGAAATTATATTGTATACATTTTTGCTATTCAATTAGCAACATATTCACATTAACTGTTGTTATTTATTTCACATTTTTGTATCTGTTATCCATAGATGCTCAAATATATGACATGATACATTCTGTTGAAATCTAAACATATTGTATATGACATTCTCTAATGTACCTTCCAGTAAGTCTATCCAAAAAAAGGAGAATGAGGCTCACAGCAATGACTTGTTCTTTGTGAATCTGTGCTTTCTTCCAGGGTTGACTACTTTTTTCCTATGGTCTTGCCAAGCAATATGCCTCATCAACTTGTTAAATTTTTTGAGGATCATTATTGAATTCATTAGTCATTAGCATGGATAAAACCTCTTTGCTCCTGTTTTAGTTACTTTCTCATCACTGAAGCACAATACCCAAGATTCACAAGTTGAAAGAGGAGAAGTTTATTCTGGCTCACAGTTTGTAGAGGTTTCAGTCCATACTTGGCTGGCTCCAAGACAGGGCAACATGGCAGAGAAGCATGGCAGAGGAGAAACAGCTCAGGACATGGGATCAGGAAGCAGAGAAAGATCAAGGGAGGAGAAAGGGAGATGGACCTAGGTTATGCCTCCAAGTGACTTACCTACTCCAGCTAGGCTTCAGCTCCCAGATCACATTCTGGGACAAACTCATCATTAGACTAATCTACTGATGATTATCATGCCCCCATGGTCCAGACACCTCCCCAAACCCCCACCTCTGAGTGCAAGGAGACATATTGCTATAAACTGTAACAGCCCCTCATTTACATAGTGAAAAAATGAGAGAATATTAGTTCCATATGATTTTTTTAAATTATTGGCTATGATTCTGTTTTTTTCAATACTCTGAAATATAATTTCTTTGAAGGTGAGTATTTGAATTTATTTGGAGAATGAAATTAACATAACAGAAACATAGACTAAGAGGAATGATAGAGGCAGTTGGAAGTAGAGCTTGAACACTATAGTGAGATGAGAAGAGCTTTTTCATGTCCCTGTCTGTGTGTATCAAAGACAAAACCCATAACTGCTTGCAAATATGGAGTGTGATCAAAATATATGGTGAATGTTTAATTTAAAAAATTATTAGAGTAAAAGACACATTGTCATTAATCCTCTTAAAAATACTCACCTTTACTTGAAACACACTTATCTTAACATTTTTGCCCCTTTCTGAAGCAATTCTGGAAGTTCTCTTTTTTGAGTGTCTTTACAAGGTGTGATAAAAAATTCAGGGATTGCTATTAGTAAGTGCCATCCAACAGAAAGGCAGGCTGGTAAAAAGATTAAAGTATTTCCTCATCCATCTTATTCACCGAACCTGACCTTGTGCAACCTTTAGCTCTTCCCCAAAGTCAAAATGACCATGAAAGGTAAACGTTTTGAATGAATTCATGACATTGAGGCAACTATGTCCCACAGCTAAGGACATGAAAGAGGACTTCCAGAACTATTTCAGAAAGCAGCAAGAATAAGTGCATTTGAAGCAAAGGGGATTAATAAAATATATTTTTTATTATAATAAATTTTTAAAAATATTTAAGCCTTCACTTATTTCTCAATCAATCTTTATATAAATTATCTCTTTGTGTTTTGAGTCTATGCTCACCATGCAATCTTCAAATTATCATGTGGCTTAAGAAATTATCCTTACTCCTGGAACTGGAAGGAATTGTTATTGCTTGGAAAAATACTGTACCTCGATAAAGTTGAGTTAGTGAGAGCCTGACAGTCTGGCTGGGCATAAAATAAGGCAATAAACTTGTATGCTCAAGAAATAAAAATCAGATTATTTGCAATTGAAAATTATCTCTACTGGGCAACTTTGGGACACACTTTCAAAATAAAAAATGGGTGGGGAACATTGCTCAAGGTGGAAGTGCTGTGTTCAATCTTCATTACTGGGGCTGGCGGAGGAGGGTATGTGTGTTACAAGTATATCCAATATCGGATTTTGACTTCTGTATATTCTTTAACTAAAAAGCCCTTCTGCATCCCAGCACCTTCAGTAACATCTTATATACTTATTTTTGTCCTTTAGGCATGTGTGTTTCAAGAACCAGAGATTGTGTTCTATTCCACCTGGCTTGTGCTGGAAGTTAAAGAGAGCCACAAGAGTAGTATGTGAGTAACCAGTGGAAAAAAAAATATATGAGACAGAACTGACTGTAAGCTTTAAACCAATTAGGATGCACAGAAAAATGGATTGGGGTAACAGGTTGCAGTTGGTATCTGTGTTTCATGATGGTTTAATTTTTTCTCATCTTTGGGAGACAATGAACCAATCTATGAGCCATCAATGAGCCATCAATGCCTTGTTCCAATGAGCATTTTCATATATTAATCAGCATTTTGCTTATAAATGTAAGTCTCATGTGAATTATCTCAATATGTTAGCTTTTTTGAATAGAGCTGACTAGGGTCATTGATCAAGTCTTCCTTGGACCTGACAAGCTCGGGTTCATCTCCTAATTCACAGTGAATTCACAATGGGACCTTTTAGCATTGTCGTTCTTTCACACAAAACATGGAGAACACTGCTTTATTGTTTAACTTCTACATTGCTTGTGTTCATCTGTCTTTCCTCTCCTTTGAGTGATATTCCATTTTGAAAATTTCTGGCTCATTAAATCATATCAACTTGTCCTTTGAGTATGTATAATCATCTCTTTTCCAGAAAAGACCACAAACCTGAGTCTACCCAGATTGCTCTCTTGCCTGTGACCTCGGTCAGTAATTTGCTGTTTCTGGTTTTCATTTTTAACTTCTGTAGAGTGGAGATAATCAAATGCTTTGTTAGGACAGTAATAAGTAAATGAGATGATATTTGTCAAAGTGCGTAGCACTTTTCCAAGAATATAGTAAGGTTTTAAAGGAATTCCAGCTCATCTTATTCTGATCACCAAGTTCTTTCTGAACTTCAAGGTAACACTTCCCTGTAATGGAATTGCTGTCAAAGTAAAGTGAGGAATTACCATCTCTGTTGCTTCTGGTTGAATAATCTTCTCTGATGATTTTTCCTCAGGGTTGTGATTCTTTGCTCAAATAGCAGATTACGTCTTCAAAAAAAATCCATTAATTACATTAGTAGGAATTATACGTACCCTGAAGGCAAAATTTTTATCCTCTTTAGTTAGTTAGGGCTTTGTGGAAGACAAGGCCATGGAAGATGATAGACTAACACTCACACTAGGCTATGAAGGGCTGCAACGTAGCAAGGAGAGGAAAATAGAGCTATTCAGCAAGGATTAAGCTGGCTTACACTACATTTAATTCACCAGGATAAATGGCACCATATGGAACCTTTTGGAACTTATCTTTCCCTAGAAAACCCTGTTGTGTATGCCACATGATCAAATTTTCATACTGTTGGCACTCACTTTTGAGCCATTTTGTTTTAAAAAATTTGAGTCATTTGTCCACACTTGACCTTTTCTTTTATTTTTATATAATCTTTTCCTAAGTATAGGTCACAAGTCTGGCTGCGACCAGGTTTCCCTCTTGCTATCTGACACCCTACCTAATATCTAGAAATCAACAAAATGTGATGCTAAAACTAATACAGGTTTAAAATAAAGGGTGCATTATTGAAAAACTGACAATTAGACATCAGTGGAAAATTGAGGTACAAAGTAACGATCCACAAATACCTAAACTCATTCTTTGAAGACAGACTCATACTATACAAATCCGACAAAGTAAACATTGAACTTCTATTTCCTGTCTTTTTCTGCAAAAAAGGAAGCAAGTTTTTTTATTGGCTTATGTGTTCAACACAGAATGATGACATTGGTTTGGGGGAATATATGTTATAAATGAACAAAGGTAAATGTGGTGTCATGATCACGCTGGATCTCCTTTCCTTACCTCTCTATCTTCATCTTTCTCTTGGCCTCCTTTCCCATTTCCAAAAAGTACACCTTCCTGTTTCATAACATAGCCTTCTTTTAAAAACTGGCAGTATAACATGACTTGGTTTGCTAACCTTACAGAACAAAAGCTTACATAAATATGAACTTAATTATTGTTATTAACAGTGTTCTTGCTCTCCTCAGACCCTTGCTTTAGTTTTGTTGAAATAAAGCTCAGAAGAGATAAATCAACTTGGAAAACAGAAAACTGTACTTTGGCAGAAATTATATCTATTACCTTTGTCATAATATCAAGTGATAGAATAAAGCAGGACTCATTTTCTCATTAGAGAAATCAGATCCCTCAATTCAATATTATTTAAACAGAGACAAGCAGAAGATTTCTGCCCATCATAAAGAAAACATGCAGATCTGCTGGTCTTTTCCAACTTAGGGAATTTAGCGTAAGTTCAGGCAGAGTGAATAAGAAATGTTATGATTTTTCAGAATAAATATTCTTTCTTAGAGAAAATCTGATCTCTATCCACACATTTTTATGTCTTTTCAACAGGAATCCTTGCTGGTAAGCATCACCCAAATACCCACATGAGTTTGAATTTTCTAAGGATTTGAAAGGGTTAATTTTCCTTTAAAATTTCATATGTACTTCTTTCAAAAAACAACACAACAAAATGGAGAACACATGACAAAAGATGTAAATAACTTTCCTCCTTCCCCCTCTCCCCTTCCTTCCTTTTTTGCTTCCTTCTTTCCTTCTCCTTTCATTACTTCCATACTTCTTTCTTTCTTTTTTTTTTTCTTAGTCTGACAATACATTTTTGGCAAGCACTGGACATAAATTTGAATGAAAATAATAAAAGTAGTAATAATAATGAAAAATTATGAGGAAACAATATGAATGAGCTATCCAAGCTATCAAAGCCAAGTGGGAGAGGCAGGAAAAACTATTAGGTGTAACTATCAAAATGAAAGAATGCTGTGAAAGCAGACAAGAGAGCAAACTGACTGTGCCTGAGGGAGTCAAAGGTGGCTTCACAGAGAAGGTGGCATTTCATGTTTTAAAATTATTTTTCTAGAAAAAGAAAATTTGGGACAAGGATGCAGCTCAGTGGTGCTGCACCTGCCTTGCAAGTGCAAGGTCCTGAGTTTGATCCCTCGTACTGAAAAAAAAAAATTAAATAAACTTTACCAGTAAAAAGGGAAAAGGAAGATCAATGCAGACAGAAAAGATATCATGGGAAAAGAATGGCTTCATATAAAGGTCAAACGAGAGAGGCAAGAGAAGATGACAGCTGGGTCTGCTCTGTGTCAGAGGTGTGACTCTAAGAAGCATGCTGACTTCAGCAGAGCAGCTGATAAATCACATTTCTCTCATGCTACAAATATTTGTCAAAGCTGTCCTCATGGAAAGTGTCAGGCTGCAAGTCTAAAGAATGATAGCAACTTCTTTTAGATTGTTTTGCAAGTTTACTTCCTCTATTTTTCTTTCTCTTTACGTAGTTCATATCCATTGGGTTATTGAAGACTGATCTAGCCTATGTGCAATGGATTTATAGATTGTGGGAATGAGTAACTTTTTATAGTTCCCTGAAGAGAGGAGAACACAGAGAAAAAGCATATATATTGCAGTAAACCTGTAAACTCCTAACAGGTTGGCCTTACATCACAGGGATTAAATTAAACTATTTGTGGAGAAAGAAAACAGAAGTGAAATATGCCAGAGTAAGAGTGTATGTATTATATATTATTTCAATCTCAGTGAAACACAAACCTGCAAACCATATTCTGCTACCCCTGCTACTAGTATGGTCTCATTGGCAACCTCTTCTCATTGCTCTTTGGCCTTCCACCTCATCCTTGATTATACAAAATGTGCTTTCCTTCAGCCCCAAACTTTTTCTTTAACTCTCCACATGTCTCTCTTCCTCAAGTGCTTTGGGTCTCAGCTCACAGAATCTAAACACACTACATAAAATAGAGGCCTCCTGTCCCCTCCTGTCATATTCTAACCCCTTGTCTTACTTTTCTTCTCTGAATATTTCTTCCCACATAACATAATATACCTTTTTATTTTCTATATTTTATTATTTCCCACTTTCTACTAGAAATTAACCTCTTTGTGAGCAGGCATTAGTCTATTTTATTGAATTAAAATGCCTAAATGAGTCAACATTTTATCTAATAAATATTTTTTTCAGTAAGTAGAGAACCTTCTATATTGGCAACATCCTATAGATGTGTATCCTGAATTTCAGAGAAGTGAAATAATTTTCTGACTTTCTATGACTCACAGCGCTTCTAAATATGAATCCATGCTGTCCAAAGTCATGATTTTTCTATTACACCAAACTTTATTCTCTACGTGGATGCTTTCCATGAGACACTTCTTCAAATATAACTTTTATTAGTGCTTACTATATCCATCATGGTTTCTAATTGTAGAAACAAAATCCACTGTAGCTAGTTTAAGTAGAAATGGACTTATTAAAAGTTGTAGATAGTTCACAGAATCCTTGGTCAGGCTAAAGAAACAGACTGATGCTGAGCTTCCAGAAATGATTTCAGTACCACACTGAAAAAGCTGGCCAGCCAAGGAGCTACTGCATTCCACTTTCAAGGAACTGCAGAATCAGAGAAGGAGTAGACGCCAATGCTGCTGACCTTGGGGCAAGACTACCTCTGCCATTAACTCAAAGTCACTGAATCAGGAAGGTCACCTCTACTACTGGGTCTAGAATTTTACCATCATTGCCAGGATCCTTGCCTGTAAAATGGCTGTCCTATCCTGGCTTTCCTTTTATTTAACTCCCTTCTGCATGAAAGAGTCATACAATTTCTGTTGGATTGGTGGAGCTCCACTCACACTCAGAAATTCTGCTAGTAAGGACAATAAGAAATGCAGTTCTTTATTTTTCCAGTCTATCAGCCCTGGAAGGCAGCTAGTAAGTCACTGAGAACCACTGTTGGCAGAATAGACTTGTTTTACTAGTGGATAACTTTACTCACTTTTCACAGCAACTCTATGAACTAGGTGTCATTTTGCCCACTGAATTGAGGAAGAGACGGGAGCTCAGCAAGATGATTCATGTAGTCATTAATGACCACATCTAATGAGACATTCTGCTTCTTCTTTTTAGAATTTATCATCTCCCCTTTTCAGTTGTGCAAGTGGGAAACTACTACTGTGTTCAGGGTTGGACAGTTTAAGGGTTAAGTAGAGTCTCATGATTCTATTCTCTAAATGTAAAGTCAGAGAAGGAACAAAAATTCAAATCTTCTATATAATCACTCCATTATATGTCGCTATTTTTAGCCATGTTATAAACTATATGGGAGAGAGTTTGGGACTTTCCTCATGTACAAGTAATAATTCAGCACACTTCTTTAATACTGATATAGTTCTTAGGTCTAAAGATACATATTTTTTATTTTTAATAAAGTCTTTTGGGTATATAGATGAACCAACCTTTTGTTTGGGGTATGACCATTATTATTAAACCATACTTATATCCAAATGAAAACAGAATAGGCTACTAGGAAATATTTATGAAGCAATCAGTATGTGTCATATATTCTAGAAGATATTTGCTGAAGGGATTTTATTACTGCCTCTCTAAATCTGGCCTCTATTTTATTTTTATTTATTTATTTTTTTGTACCAGGGATCGAACTTGGGTCCTTGAGCTTGCAAGGCAAGTGGCAGAACCACTGAGCTTCTGGCCTCTATTTTAGAAATGAGGCAACTAGGGTTCAGTCATTGAATGAGGGGTGATAAAAAAATTCTCAGGGTGTCGCAGCAGTTTAATGTACCTAAAATACCAATAATTAAGCTTAGAAATGGGGCAGGTCTAAATGGGAATTATGAATATGGCTTTTGGTCTTATGGAACTGTTTTGAATTAAAGAAAGTTCACAACATTTGAATAGTCATACTGGTAAAAGTTCTGGTCACTCAGACTAAAAGGTGTTGATGTTGTTTAATATCTAAAATAAACTCTGTGTTTCCAACTTTCTACAGACAGAAAATGGGCAGATAATTCTGCTCAATGAGAACAAGTGCGGAGTTATTGATTCATTGTTCCAAAACAGCCAAAGACCATAGAAGAAGGAGGAGAAGGAGAAGGAGGAGAAGTTGTTCACAGAGGCTGAATTTTAGAGCCAGGGAGAACAATGAACTAATACTAATCAAGGAAATTTTCTACCCACAATGAAGAGAGGCTTGGCAATATTTGCTCAACATGAATTCCAAATTTTCTAGACTAAGACTATTAAGGGCTTTCTATTTTTTCCTTTCCAGGTAGGAGTATATGCTGCAGTTTCTATTCTATTCTATTGTACATTGAGTGTGTGGAGGAAATATTATAAGTGTTTGGATTTGTGGCATAAGATGAACTTCATATGAATATGATGTAGATAGTGGATTTCTAGATTTTTATATTAAAGCTGGAATTGAACGAGGCTTTTAGTGTCTTGGTGAGAATCTCATACTTGTGTGGGGGAAGGATATTAAACTATGAATGAAAGGTGTACTATGATAATTTAGATTATTTCACAGCAAGTTTTTACTCACTTCTCCCTTCTACTATTGGCAAAGTATAATTCCTAACAGCTTTCCAGAATGGCTTTGGTAATGGGACTTTTTGGGTAATCGGATGATAATGGATGAGAAGTTAGGAAAGACTAAACATACATTTGCACAATGAGTGTCACCATCTTGTACTGCGGCCATTTCCTGGAGGAGATCATAATGTGGATAGCCTAGCAGCCAGGATGGTAGGAGGTAGGTACATGGAGAAGACACAGGCACAGCACTACAACCCGAAGACAAATCCAGCACTGCCTGTTTCAGCTCAGAGGACCCTCAGGAATTCCAAAGGCATCCAAGGGAGAAAAATGGTTTAAACCAGCAAAGCTTCATTTTGGAGTGATTTGTTACACTTAGGAAGAGCTAACTGATATAGAAATAAGTGGATTTTTAAAATGTTCTGGAGAACTGCCTGGAAGGATCAGGAAACAAAAATATTAGAGACTGTGTGGAATGGATGTATATTTGTGAAATCTTAATGGAGCTAGAAAAACCTTATGATGATTTCACATGGCAGAACACATTTCCATCAGTGACAGTGTTATCACCAGTGGTGGCCACTGGTTTCACACATTAAAAATCAACCTTGGGAAATTTAAGGAAGAAGAATATTTCAAAAGTACTCTATCCATTTACAGAATTAGAGGAAATACTGAATAGACTTTGAGAGGTTCAGAATGTAGGAAGATTAACAGACTTATACATCAGGAATTCATAGGTAGTTTCCTGGTCAAGAGTAAATAATCACAGTCTAATTAGCCTTGTGTATTTTTTGTGTCCAATCTTATGGGGGAAGAGGGACCAGGCTCTTGTGACTGATAGTTCTACTAGGAATACACAGAACGGAGGAAAGACACTGCACATTAACAGTCCTGTCACCTCTAAAAAGCTTAGATAAATTCTTATTCTCAATATTTTCTCTTAGTAAGTTACCCCAATATTAAAATATTATATTTCAATTAGCAAGAAAATTGTATCAAATAGCTTTGCTTTGAAACTCTATTTCTAGAATAGTGAAAAATGACATGACTATATAAATTCATTGTGTATTGAAAGTTAGTATCTATTCTATAAATAATAGTTCTGAATTTTATACTACAAAATCCCTTTACTTTGGAAAGTCTATTTCCTTATAGGCCTATCATACTTTACATAAGCAAACCACACAATTATTCTCAAGAGATTAATAGCTAGTAAATAATTTACTTCTTAGGGTACCCAGCAAGTTCCAACTTTCCTACTTTGATTCCACTTCAGATAGCTATTTTTGAAAAAGTTACTAAAATTATTTCTTCTGCTCATCTCTGAAACTTTTTCTTTTTTTTTAAATTAAATTCTTTTATTGGTACATTGTAGGTATACAACACAATTACATTTCTCATTGGGAACTTGTACCTTTACATAATGCATCT